ACCTGTGCTGAAACCAGGCTGCTTCAAATTTATCCCTGAACTGATTTCAGTTTTTCTAGATGAATTCCCCATGCAGGCGCATCCACCGGAGCCGTCTTAATGTACAGCTTCACAAGGTGCCGGAGAATGGCCATCAAGCAATCGAATTCTGCCTTGTCGCTGCCCCATTTGCTCGTGTACCATGGTTGTCCGGGGAACCTGCCAGACCAAAACATTCCTGAAGGGTGCCGGTGAATGCCAAGGCCGATGACCGTAGGCAAAGCTGTGTAGTCCCATCCATCCTGTTTGGATATCTGGACCAACTTCTTCCAAGATTCGCTCAGATGGAACCTCTTTGAACGATCCAAGCCACAAGGTAGGGCAGAAGGACCTTCAGAAGCTGCAGCGCTCTTCCTGTGCCCCTGCAGTTTCCAAGAACTCTGCATTGCATACTGCGTCATCATCTGTATTGGCTTCATCAACCCCGCTGCTCAAAGCATCTTCATCTGAGCATTCATCCCCCTCTCCATTCGCATGGTTTGTCTCGCATGGAAGCCGAAGGTCTCCTTCTGGTGGCATCATGTGGTCGTGGTCGCTCTCACTATTTGTATCTTCATGTTGACCCGGTTCCTCTTCTTCGCTCTCTGCACCTGATGACTTAGCATCAGGAGGCACCCAAACAACCAAACAAATCAAACATGTTCGATCATATCATTGAAACAAAGACATAACAGCACAGCCCACAACATAAAACCACCAAACAGTCAAGCTGAACTTATATACACTGAAGTTTTTGATCATCAAAACCAATACCAGCCACCATGACATGGCACTGACACCAACCCCTGATCTCGCCTCCATCGTATGCGTCTCTGATCATGTCCAAGCCATTCACCATGTCCTTGGTGTTCAGAAGAAGAAGCTTCCTTTTGGGATACTTGTCTCCTGAAATCCAGTATGTGCCTGGTCCATCCACCAGCTCTGGATTGTTGAGAGTCATTGTGACATGGAGTTCTTCCAAAGACTGGACTCCTTTTTTAATCTGCTGTGGTGTCGCAATCTGCTGCCTCCTTCAAAAAAGAAAAGCTCCATGTCGCGGCCATTGACTTGCTGTAGCTTTGTTTGCCACTGGACTGGTTTCTTTGTGCTCAATACCTTCCTACCCCTCCTGTGCTGGCAGACCAAGCGTTCAATGCAAACAGAAATGGCACTTGGCAAGAACGCATGATTCCCATCATCTAGCTCCACAGCCCAGAGCAGTCGGCTGGTGGGAGGGGGTTGCACAACATCGTTGAGGACACCACACTGCCGCAGCATACCTGATGCATCTAATGTTGCCAAGGCCTCTTGATGGCTCATCTCTGGATACTCCGGGTAATGGTTGCTGGAAAAGTACCCGGCAGCCGTCCACGCCGCAGCGAACACCTTCAATGGCCTCACCAAACAAATGCTCTAAGCAGAAACTGCTCCATACCTACACCCTCAGTGCCATGTCATGACTGCAGGGTACACTTTACGTATGGATGTTGATTCTATTGGATTTTAGTATCTATATACATATAATGTGTATATATAATATATAAATAGATCATCATGTTGACATAGGATTCAATCTAACTGCGGAAAAACTCTCTAGCTACAGGCTTGGCAGTGTCATGTCATGTGGTTGGTTTCCAGTCCATGTGCTTCAGACATCTCTCAACAACCTGATGAAGGATCTGAGCTCAGCACACAGATTTCCAAGCGAGAAGGCTGCGATCGGGGAGAGTTTTCACATCAAGCTTTTTGTGCCCTGGCTGTCCTGATGCCTTCACTGGCATTGACTGATACTCTGGACGGGATCTGATGTCAGCAATAAACCCACAATCTGCATTGTCAGCTAAATCCAACCTCGATCTATAGATGTGATGCAGTTGATCGACCGGTTGGGCACATGCGCTCCAGCCGCCCACTTGCTGGTCGGGCAATCGGACGTTGACATGGGTTGCCCACGCTGCACGCGCTGTATCAAGACCTGTGCTAAAGCTGTGGTATCCGGTCCAACCGTCCACGAGCAACAGTCCTTCGTGGGAAATGTCAAGGCCGTGCTTTGCTCTTTGCACTGCAAAGGCGTCAACGTAGAGTTGTTGTAGTAAGATCAGCCACGTTTCACCGTTGAGGAAGTGGGTTTTCCTCTCTGATGCAAGTAGTAGACACTCTCCACGATGCTTCTGGTTGAACTCAGCCACGAAAGAGGCATTGAACATGTTGGCAGGATAGCATGGCCCTAAAGGGCCAGGCGATCCATCTGACCAGGAAGAAGTGACGGCCGTGAGGGCCAAACGAGATCCGTTGATGTTGTCAACACGGGCAATGAGCCCTCCATGTTGCTTCTCTCCTAACATATCCATATCACTGTGATGACATAGCACTGACACAGACCCAAACCAACTTTAATATATAAAGGATGTATGAAGAATTCCATTGAGGATGTGTATTCTTTTGGACCTCTTCTCATATAATATATCACCGGAGCACCCCCTACATAAATCAGCACCCTGATGACATAGCACTGACAGACCAACAAAAAGCAAAAAAGGGCATGCATCCGTGATCAAGAAACGGTTCTTGACTTTCATCAGGGTCTTCTTGCCGGTTCTCAAGCTTTGCCTCCACACCTGGTCCACATTGAGAACCAAAAAGCCGTGCACTCCAGATGCCAGGTGCTGGTGCAGTTGTTTCCTCGACGCTGTTAAACGAGGGTCGTCCCACTCTAGGTAGGCGCCCCCAGTGTTGACTGGGGATTGCTTCCATCGCATCATCTCCAAAAAGCGTCTGCACCATCTGCCATCTAGAGGAGGGCATTCCTGGGGTTCAGGAAGTAGACACCTGTGGAGTGTGTCACGGCAAGCACCAGCTGCAACAAGGTCTTGGGTCATTCGCTCATTGTGCAATGCCACAGCTGCTTTTGCCTCTTCGAGGCCTTTGTTGTAGTCCCGTGCCAGTTTGGAAGCGGTCACCACCTTGGAAGCTGAAAAAGACACCCGTTCTAAGGTCATTATCCTAGCTTCAACTCATGACTTGGCACAGGCACATCCATGAGGAGAAGGGGTCAGCTTCTGCAAACAGATATGGAGAGGTCTAAACTACACCACAACTGCCTCAACGCATTTCACAGAAAATAGAGGCCCCGACAACGTGACGCATCAGCACTCTGTCTCGTCTTTGGCACACCATAGAAAGACCCTGGCAGTGCTCGGTGATGGCCGCATTCAACTCCTGGCATGGGAAGGTTAGCACCAAGGACTTTCAACTCTGGGGTTTTGATCCGCATTGTGGATTTTTTGGACACATAATAGAGCTATGTCATTTGCA